TATATAAAAGATGAAAGGTTAAAGAATTGATTAGCTTTAAAAGATTAAAGCATTAGTAAAAGAAAAGAAGAGTAGAACAAGATATGAACGATGAATTCATCTGATATAATTGAGGATTGAATTGTTCAGACGAATTCATCGTTCATATCTTGTCCTCCTCAGTTTATATCTCTATAGTAAATTTGTAGTAAAACATTTCGTAAATGTTATATCATAACAAAATTAATTTCCATTGACAGGTCTATGGAATCATGTGTTTCTATTCTCGAACTTGTCACTTTTCGTGTTTCTGCCTTTCGCCTATCTCTTCACGGAATCGGAGGGTTTTGAAGGCCATAAAAAGGTGAGATAAAATTCTGAAAAATTCTTGATAACAAGTTCCTAAATCTTTTTTTTATGATCATTCTGCAATCATAGGGCGTGATGGCGAGAGTATATGAAACAGTGACAGTTCTCTGTCTCTTGGGTACTCTCGTATTAGGAATGACCTATGTCTTGTCGGCCCTGTTGGATTATCAAAACTCAAGTTTACACACATTGCTCAGTAAGTAATACATATCATGTCATAGAATGTCGTATTTTTTACAATTTAGATATATTCGTATACATTTACGATATTCGTCGCGATTTTATCAGCATAGTTACATAAATTCTACTGAGTGAGTGAGACTACTGACGTGATATAATCTACCTTACAGATTTATGGAGTTATTATTTGCCTTTTCTATATTCCTGCGTCTCGTTCGTCGGCGTAGTAATGTTATTACGTAAGTATCGTACATTTTCGCACAATTCTACTACGCACAATTCTTTACGCAGAGAAAAAATCAATTTGTGATATTTTTCAAACATAACATTTTTCCTGAGAATTTACTCTAACTGGTGAATTATTCATTCCTCAGTATGCACTCCAGTGGGTTTCGTACGACTGTTCGATGTGGCGGGGTCGTTTCTTGTTAAACCCCAATTTCTAAAGAACTTAGATGAGGAGTTCTTCGCGTATAGATTAGAGGAGGACTGCATCCGCAGAAGGTATCATCTCTTTCTTTCTTTTCCTTATATTTTTATGTATATTGAATCACACATTGTCTAATGTTTATATACGTATATATACAATTCAGCTTATATTCAGATTACAGCACGTAAAAGCTACGGGGAAGTCATACGTATCGCCGGTGCCGATGTCGCCGGCGACGAATTGTGGCTGGTTGCCGCACGAGGACGATGAGCCACTACTGTGCATAAGTCCGAGTCTGCTGTGTCTGAGGAACGGTGCTCTGCAAAAGGGTCTTTCTCAACGGCTGGATGATGTTCAGAAGCGGCGACAGTTGCTGGATCAACAGCGGAGGACCTGGTGGGTCCGGCGTACGCTACTTTATCCGGTAGCGATGTTGGCGCTGCTCGTTCTATCCACCGCCACGGCTCTATTAGCGGTGCAAAACACTATAGAATTACTGATAGGCATCAAGGCGTTGCCATTGAGCACGAGGGTTTGTATTTACTTCCCTTCCTCTGAATTAACCGAGTCGTGAATCTTGCTGCAATTAATTTGAATCATCGTTATTTTATATTAATGATGAATTATAAATTTGTGATTGATTTGTGAAATGAAATTTATAAATTTTGCGTGCTACAATTAAAAAGTCGATGAATTTATTCTAACAAAAAGAAACAAATTTCTCTCAACAAATTTATTTCACAAGTAAATTATTTAATGATTTTGTTCTGTGATGACATTTTTATTAACTAATCTTGTTTCATTTTTTTTTTTGTACAGTATGAATCTTAATTTTACTTGAAAAATCATAAAGTCGTTTTTAATTTGACAGCAATTTACGCTCGGCATCAGTTCCCTGTCCAAGCTCGGACCCATCGGTGCAGCCATCGAGGTGGCAGTGATTCTTTATCTGGCCGTAACTAGCGCGATCGGCCTGTACACTTTACCAGGCGTGAGAATGGTCCAACCAAGGTTCCGCTCCACGCCACTCACACATCTCATTGCGAATTGCGCTCTCTTGCTTGTGCTAAGTTCGGCATTACCGCTGTTATCGCGAATACTAGGTAAGACACGAATTGTCTGGATGTTTTTATTTATATCCCGCACGCAATATGTCTCAATTCCAGTTATCCTACTCAATTATACTCTGAAATAATTGAAAATTAATAATAGATCTGCTTGTTAGTTCTCGTTCAAATAATATAAATATATAATCTGGAGTGCGTTTAGGAATTCAAAGTTTTATCATTTTATCCTTGTTCACCGATAATCCTATTAAATAAAAATAAAATGATACCTGAATGGATCCTGATAAAATTTCTGAATGCAACCCTGCATATTTATAGAGTTTTTTTTTATTAATGTCATTTCAATAATGAATTCTTCGATTAATTTAGAATCAATATTTTTATTAATAAAGATGTTAAATACAAGTAATTTTCGAGTTATAAAGATTCGCGAACGAAACATAAAAAATAATTATGTTATAAATAACAAATTATTTGTTATTATAACAAAAATACATTTAAAAGAAGTGATACTAGAGAACAAAGTTTTACATGATTGGCATTTTTTAATGCTACTCTGCTCACGTTTCTTCTATTCCGTTTTTCCCAGGAATGACAAACTTTGATCTATTGGGTGATTTCGGACGCATCGAGTGGCTCGGTAACTTCAAACTCGTTCTCCTCTACAACCTGATCTTCGCGACGGCGGCGATCAGCTGCCTGACCACCAAGTTCACGGCTACTGTGCGCAAGGAGATCTACGCCCGTCTAAGGAGCAGCCTGCTCGGCATCTTTAGGACCACGAGTGTCACCGCCGACGCGAAGAAATATTCACCGTCGTCAGGGATATTTTCTATAAAGGAAGATTAGACTGATTTGTTATATTATTATATAATTAATATAAACAAATAGAGAGAGAAAAGAGACGCCGGGACCTTGCGAAAGTTTGCCTGGTTTTTTATGTTCTTGCATGCAGAATACAAAGAGCCTCTCTCGAGCTTCTCGAAAACGTGAGAAATTTATATCATATACGACGCATGTAAGAAGAACAGAGGTAGAGAGTTCTCGAATTTGCCGATCTTTGGACGTGCCAATCCTTCGATGCTTTAGAACTCTTGGACTCCTGGTTCGTTAGATTCTCACGTGCTCGAGCAATCATATCGAGGTCCTCTGTATTTTCATATTCCTAGATTCCGAAACTGTTGGTTTGTTTTAATTTTTTTAAGAATTCATGCATCGAATATATAAAATATATTAAATATATGACAGTATATTTAAATGAAGACACCTTGCGTCGTGTCTGAGAGATTGGTTTTTCCAAGGAACTAAATCGATTACGTTGAAATCATCGGTAAACTTCATTGGCAATCCGTTCTTTTTTAAAAAGTCAGACACTTTTGCACGCTTTTGCTCCCGTGCCAATCGAAAATCGCTGCATTGAAGAGCCAACGAAACTTTCGTGAGAGCCTAAAAGTTTATCGCTTAGAATAAACGAACGCTAGTGATTATTTGTAATTAAGATGCGCGAGGCCAGTTAAGGACACGTCCGATAAGGATAACAAAGCGGTCATATCCGTAATACATAGCATTAAATATTTATTTATTACATTAATACTAATTTTTAAGAATATATATTTATCCGAGCACGGAAGAAGGACTCGCCAATCGAACGAGTTTATGTATATACATACGGCAATCGAATGATTAATTTATAATGGATGACAAGGACTGCAAGGAGGATATGATACGATCTAAGTTGCGTATGTGCAAGGTATTGAGTGAAATTTTTCATCAATAATATATCTGATAAAAATCTATCCTCCACGGAAAGAACATTCGATGAATGTTTATTTACCTTCGAATGTCTTTCTATTTTACAATTGCCAGCTGTCGTACATAGAGGGAGAAATGCAGTTTCAATTTAAGTTATAAATGACTGCTCGAAATAAAAACCTAAGAAATATTATCTAGATTATAACACGAAAGCGTAAGGAATTGTTTAATGTTTAACATCTCGTGCGGAAAAAGAAACGTTCTTAGACTGAATGAACCGTAAAATGAGATTTTAGGAGACTTATACATATTCTAATTGTATAAAACGTATATACATTATAATAAATCGCACGATTTTTTAAACACTTGCGACGAGATGATGAAGAAAGCTAACGAAACTGTTTTATATATATAAGCAGGAAATTATAATGATACAAATTTTGAAAAATATCTTTCATTTAAAAAAGCCGCCCTGGAATCCATCTTTGGAACGATATCACAGATTTATTCTTTTTAATATCTCATTGGAAAAACCTTATTTATTATCATTCATCATTCTACTAAATCAGAGTAACAAAATATTAAGACAGCTCCGTGCTTTTTCTATCTGAATCTATGTCACGTTTTAATTCTAGTTGCATTTTTACAAATATTTTTTTATTTGGCTTCTTTACATCATTTTCCTTTTGTTTTAATTTACATTGATTTAATCCTTCTGGTCTGTTCTGGTTTATCCAAAATGCAATTTGTTTTTTTACTAATATTTTTTATTTAGAAACTTTTCTTCGATAACTTTGTTAATGTAAGATCTCTTTTCTGTGACTTTTCCTGGGAAAAAAATGTTTTATATATAATTATATACAATTATACATAAAACATTTTTTCTCAGGTTTTTTAAGAATTTTTTAATCATATTGATCAAATAGTGATATTATATAATCATATCGTAAATATGAACACAGACAAGTAGGATTGTTTTATTTAAATACAACGTCACTATCATCAAATTAAATATAATTCATAGATAAATAACCTATTACTGCATAATGCCACGAATTCAATCGCGTATCATACTGTTGTGTTCATTTTCAGACGGTACTTTTCTAATATCCTGATGATGACATGCGCAGAAATACCGCGACGCACAATCGAATAACAACCGAGTTTCGACACATCCACCACGGTGGAACCGATCCTGCGCGCATCGATCTGTTTCTTGCAATCATTAGAGCTGTGGAAGACACCATCAAGCTCTGGCCATAATGCGCAAAACTCGTTTGGGTGCAGACTGCTCGGTTCTTTGCTAACATTGGCACTGGTAAGCGCAAGTGGACCAACGATCTGGACGACACTGCGAATGAACTTGTTATTGGGCACACGGATACCCACAGTGTCGATACCTGGATTTAGATCCTTGTTCAGAGCAGGTGTGCGCCGCAGGCATATTGTGTAGGGTCCAGGAAGCAGATCTTCCAGCATACCAGTTGGAATGTCGTCTATAATGCCCCATATACCTACCTCCTTGACATTACTCAAGCAAACAGCCAATGGCTTTCTCTCGTCTCGTTGCTTGATCTCATATAGCCGCTGGACGGCGTGTGAATTAGCAGCCAGGCAAGCAAGACCATACACTGTGTCTGTCGGCACTGCGATCACTTTTCCCTGCCGCAATAACTCCGCTGCCATCGCAACGCTCCGATCACCGCCACAGAAGAAGTGCCTCTCTTTTGGTCCAAGCATCTTTATCTCTTCCTTAGCCTTATTCATAACAACTTTCATGGGACCCATTGAGCTGGGGCTCATGATATATCTAATGCTTGTCGTATTCCACTCCTGTAAAGAGAATAAGAAGAAAACCATTAAGAATTTTGTGAAAAAAAATCAGTAATATTGAAATAATCCTTAGTTATATAATGTCTTTCAGTTTTGATATATAAAAAAGTTCATTCTAATTGATTCGTTTTTTATTCTTTATTTATCAGATTTTATTTTAAATATTCATCGAGTCATTTCTTTCTTTCCTGAAAAATGGAATGTAATGTTTTATTTTTTTCTTCTTTTATCTAATGAGAATATAGATTTTTTATTTTTTTTATATCGACACCAAAATGAAAATTTACTCACATAATTAAGAAATTTTTTAAACACATTTTTTTGTCTACTTTATAAGTTGTTATATTAGATTAATTGAATTCTTTATCGCTACTTTTATATAAGAAAAATAAAGGTAATTATCCTCCCCCTCCTGCTTAATAAAAATATACTTATTCGACATATTTTTACTCAAAACGAAAGAATCTGGCAAAAAAACGCAATGGCGTGAATAGAGTTATTGAGTGGAGATTTTAAGATAGCTGTCAATCATCCCGATTCGATACAGCTCTATGTATACGTTCTGCATTAATAATACAGATTCATTGCTTTGAAAACACAAATTCACTGCTAATGCAAAAAATTTGTGTGCTTAAAGTGAATTCATGTTTGTAAAGCAGTGAATGTGTGAATTTTATACTATTAAAATTTCAATAACAAAAGATATACTATATAATAACATAAATTAGAAGCAAACTTATAAGGTATTAAAAGTAAAAAATTATTAAAAAACAGTAGTTTTGTGATTAAACGATACCTCCAATTCTATGATGCACAATCTCTAATTTCTCTTCTCTGAAGAGATTCTATTATAATTTTACTTCCTTTCTCTTCTGTAAAAATATTTCTATTTTCTATCTCCTACATTCTACAGCAAACCCCAAAATAATCTAATCTTCCTTAGTTTCACTTCTAATTTAAAGTTTCTCCAGAAATGGCAATAAGAACAATTTATGTCAAACCTAGTAATTTCAGAAGCATAATATTTTCCTCCCCCATTGTTATGATGCTCTTGAATTACCTGCGAGATTAGTCGACTCGCCACGTGTGAGCACACTCGTGATTGCAACATCTATAAAAGAGTGTCATAGGCTCATCGGCGGAGCGCGTTTGTAACTGCCTGAAGTAAGCACGTGGATGTGAGCACTTGGGGCAACGTTCATCAGTCGAATCCACTCCCATCCACGTGGATTCAGCGTCAATGATATCAGCACGCTCCTTGCCCGTGAAGTAAATGCGTGAGCTTATCCGGGACCTTATTGGATAAATATATGGACACGTGGGGCATGCGAATCGATTGCCCGACGAATGCTCCCGAAACCTGAGAAGATTAGCACAGAACGGACAAAATCGCAACACCATCCTTTATTTCAGGAGCTGTCGAATCAATCGAATGTCTCGTCGTATTTATTTTACAGTCTGCAGTCTGCACTCCTAGACACATACCAACAGATACGCCATAGGGCGTATAAATAATAAAGGTATTAAAGATACCTAGATTAAGAAAGATCACTAGTACTTATAAAGTACCGCAATTGATTTCAGAAATGTCGCGTAAAAATGGCCGGAGTGCATACACGATTTGAAGTACATGAGGGTAACACACATAAAAATGCTTAAGCTAATGCGATGATGTGTACTTTCGTATTCCTGAACAGTACTTACATTGAATTGTACTTACACGTATCCTTCGTGCACTTTTATGCACAAAACTTCTACGACAAATAAATCCGTATTAAACTAAAGAACATATAAATTGAACATTCGTATATTCTTTTGTTCATAAATAAACTAATTACAATTAAAAAAACATGATTTACATACTTAATGACTTCATTTTTCCAAATAAAGAACGTATTACAAATACATAAATTTGAAATGGCCGCGTTTCGCGTGAAAATGGATGCGAGTTTGCGGTATTTTATAGATCTGTGACTTAAAAAATATATTTTCATGCAACGTTGAAACCATAGACATATAAGAAGTGTGTTCGGCAAATTGATGTAAATCTGAGACGCAAGCTAGCAAATGGCGAGCTTGATCACGTAATCTTCGAGCAATCCGAGTATCAAGAATTAATTCCGAATGCTACTGAGCTGTAAAGTTGTCCTTTAAAGTTAGAGTATAAAATGAAATTGTTTATTTATGAATAAATAAAAGATATCTTATTAATTGAAAATGTCTTTCGTTTTAGTCGAAACTGATAATAATCTTATATATTAAAAATTGATTGTTATGCACATGAATGTAAGCAGACTAGCTCATATGCAAGGTGTTTTCTTAAAAGGAAATATTACATTGTAAAATAAATTTCAGCAATTTATAAGTTATATCATTTGATTTATATTCGTTAGAGTCTTTAATATATTAATACAGTTTGATTTTATTTCATTTTATATGTGTAACATAAGCTTTGATCTAAAAATTAACTAGCAAATTCTTTGTTTTCAAATACGTAACTTCGAATTTATAAAGAGGAAAAGAATTAAAAACTTATTTTCTTCATTGTTCAAATGTTATACCTAATGTACCCCATCAATTTCTATTTGATGGCATTTGTTTCCCACCAAACGAAAATGGATTAAAATGGATTGAAATTTTTTTCTATTTGAATGCGTATTTTAAATAGCGAATACTTTTTTTGGATTCAATTGGATGCAATTGGATTGAAAAATTGCATTTTCTATTCAAAATTTTGAATTGAATAGTATTTACAATGTACAGAAAAAGCTAATATTATTTTTAGATTGAAAGGCGTAGAGATATGCTCCATGCAATTCCTATAAATGAATAAAAATGCATTCAGGATTGAAAAGCATTCATTTTAACATTCGTGACTCAATATTTCTGAAAATCTGAATCCATTTCAATTCATTTCAATCCATTCTCAATGAGAACGGAAAAGCGGAAGCCAATCGGAACTCGCAATAGTAATAGGAGGTTCATTTCGCTTGTCTGCTTCTGTCTTTCCGCGAGCTCTGATTGGCTTCCGCCTTTCCACTTTCCGTTTTTCCGTCAAGATATGAACCCAGCTGTAGGGCGCGTTCACACTTTGACGGAAAAGCAGAAAGCGGAAAAGCAGTGGTCAATCAGAACTTGCGCTGGTAGTAAGTAGTACAAAAAGCCGAAATTGTAGACCTATCAGCTAAAGTTTTGATTGGCTGCTTTTCCATTTTCCGTCAAGGTGTGAACACGCCTTTATATTCCTTCGTCATGTACCGGAGTATCGGCACGTGTCGCATTTTCGCATATCGCGACAGCGGGGGGTCAAGTGATTTTGTCGAAGAAGGATAGTCATCTGGACGATTATAGGGTAAGCCTTCTCGTGAGAATTCCTCATCGTGTCCACGTCAACAGCCAACAGCATGCTCAAACCTTTTTATTATTCCTTATTAACAATCTTGAATGACAGGTCTTTCAGGTTATGACGTGTCCTACCCCTCGATCGCTTGGCGGGACTGCCGAGATATGCGGTGTGCCGACGTCTCTACTCCGTCGATTTTAGGAAATCATCTTCCCGTTCACGCGGCGCATTCCTAAACACCGTTGTTTTAACGCATTTTTGATTCCTTTCTTTTCCTGCCGCGATATGGAGACCGATCGGAACGCGGCGTTCGATTTCGCGGCTATGTTCGCTCCGGTTCTTTTAATACTCGCTATGTTCTTAACGATGTTCTACAGGCTCAGGTAAGTCACTTGCATATTGCATATACCGCCAATACCGGCGTGTTTTATATACAGCCGTGGCTTAAAATATTGTATTTTTTTCTTTTATTAATTTGGAATTCTTTTACCTGTATATTGTTTCTTATTATAATAATATAATAATTACCAATATACACAACAAGTTTAAATGATTTTTGGAACAAAGAATATTCCATGAATGTCATAAATCAATTTTTGAACTTAAAACGTTAAATAGAGGTCAATGAAGTACCTAATACCTTTTTGACCAATTTCTGTTTTGAAAGGCTATATGTTTTATTATATTACTCCCACTTTTATTGCTTTTGACCCACTCTTCGTTTTTAAGAGTGTACTAATTCATCGTAATTACGCATCTTTCAGGGCAAGATGGCCTGTGAAGGTGAATTGCTGGTTTTGCAATGAGAACACGAAGGTCTGGAGACAACATCTGAATTGGTGGTTGTGTCCTTGGTGTGAACAGTACAACGGGTTTTCCAAGGTAAATTACAGGGAGTTTTCCAACGAAAAACTTCTGTGTCATTTTGATACAGAAGCCATTCTATCTTTATTTGATATTCAATCAGAAACAAAGACAGAGTGACTCCAAGTAGCAAAGCCTAATGATGCCTTTAACATCAATAAGATATCATTAAAATGTCATCTTCATTTTTTCTTTTTTTCTCTTCAACATGCAATAAGTTCAATTAAAAAGTACAGGCCTGTCCATGTTTAGCTGTCCGTTTGTTGGAAAACAATTTCTTTTATTTTTTAATGTCCATAATGATGAATGTGAAATGTTTGTTCCAGAATGGCGATTATGCGTACGATATTCCAGAGCAGTACGTAACATCAAAAAGACATACGAGATATTGTAGAGTGTCCAAGGACAGTGAGAACAGTCACGTCCTCAAAGATAGTCTCTGTGCATGTTGTAACAAGCGGGAAGGTCTGAAATTATCGGAACTGGCCAATTTTGAGCCTAAGAATGAAAAACTCTTTAACACCGAGCTGAAAATATTTAAGGAATACCTAGAAGCGAGGTATCCGCTGTGTGACAGTTGCAAATTGACAGTGAGAGATGTGCTGCGCAGGCAGGCGGTGTGGCTGACTCGTTATAAGATGCTGTTTTTCAGGCGGAAACCGTTTAAAACGCTTATCAGTGTAAGTACATTTGCAGAAAAGACTGTTACAAGTAGAATAAGAGAAAAAATCCTATTTTTAGATAAAGTGGATCTTGGTGATTAATAATATTCCTTATGTAAATTTGAAAGTACATTTTTTTAGTTCTATAAATTGTACATCGATTCGGTTTGTTGGACTTGAAATGCAATCATATACCAGAGCTAGAAATACATCACAAATTACATTAATCGTTAATTTAATAATGATACTAATTAGTATTAATGCTAATAAATAAATAATCTTAAAATACTGCAAAGAATGACTCATTAAAGATTAATATTCGATGCCCTAACATTTATTAACGTTATTGTAAATATTTTTTAACGTTCATTGACTTGCAGTTGCAGCAACATTATAACAAATAATCATTAGTTAATACAATTACAGAACGCAAAAAAGTCGGAAACAGTCTTCCGAGTTATCTCTACGATTCTGATCTCAATGGTCATGTACAACCACGACTTTGTTTGGCTGCCAATCAGTGGACTATTTTTTCATTTGTGCGCTTGTTGGTCAAGCTCGATGAGAAAAAAGAGTTCCGATGTATTATTGATATTTTTATGGTTCTGCGTCATTACTCTCGTGTCCATAAAGGATTTGATGACTCTTCAAAATGCCTGGCTTACAACAGAACACATCGTACAGTACCGCATGGTAAGCTCAATAAATGAGAAATTATTATTATATTATTATCTTGATACATCTCCTTTATTGCGAATTTGATTACGGCCCGCAATAGATGTACATTTTTCATTCTCTGCATTCTACAATACTTTGTAACGTAATTTTTTGAAGATGACTCAAAAACGAATCGAAATCTGTAATGTAATTTTTTTCGTTTTTTAAATTATTTTTTATTATATTATTGTTTGTATATATTACATTGTATTTATATTAATTTACTCATTAATTTCATGTTTTAATTCTTACTTGCTCCTCTTATTATTGTTATTATTTTGAATACGTTTGCACATTCAGTTTATCCGTCTTTCTTTCTAGGTAGCGATTTGCGCATTTATTATAGCAATGGTGAGTCTAAGATCCAGCTTGTATAAAAGTACTTCGACCAGTTCGGTGGTATTTAAGAAGATCAAGTTGCGCTCACGAGATGTTATTTCGCCTCAGCTTGAATATAACAGTCAAAACAGAAATAATATCGTTAAAAGTGAAACGAATGGCTATATTAAACCGTCAGTCTATGTGGCGAGCGAATTATCTTCCACTGAAATCAAATTCAGTAAATCACATTCAGCAATGTAAGTATTTTACACATCAC